AGACACTAGTATCTGTGCAGAAGGACCAAGCTATGTGTCTTCAAGGCCCTGATAATGCCAGTTTTGATATACGGTAGTGAAACTTGGACATTATCCTGTGCCTTGGAGTCACGTCTTGATGCTTTCTATAACAGGTCCTTGCGCTGGATCATGGGGTACAGTTGGCAGGATCACGTGTCCAACCAACGGTTGCACTGTGAGACTGGCACAGGACCTGTTACATGCACAATCCAGGAAGGCCAACTCAGGCTATACGGCCACCTGGCTTGCTTCCCCCAGGATGATCCTGCCCACCAGGTTGTCTCTATACATGACAGCCATTGGTGGAGGAGGCCTGTGGGACGACCTAGGAGGTCGTGGCTTGGGCAGATCGATCAAACCTGTCGTGAGGAGCTCGAGACTGGCCAAGTCCTTGCCTGGCGGCTTGCCATGAGGGCCCCAAAAGTTGGAAGCGAAGGGTGGATGCGGCTATGCGCCCCCATCGGCGTTAGCCCCCAGATGATGATGATGATATATATATATATATATATATATATATATATATTATATATATATATATATATATACATATTCATATATATATGCATATTTATAAATATATACAATTTATATGAATATCAATAATATATATATATACATACACACACACACACACACACACACACACACACACATATATATATATATATATATATATATATATATATATATATATATAAGAAGCGAAAACTAAAGGTAGTGGTAATGAGAATGAGGTTTGACAAATAGGAAACTTCTATCCAGAACCAACATTTGCATAACTGGGATCACAGACACTGTAGGGAGCGGAGGGGGAGGAAAGGGAGAAAAAGGTGGGAGGTGAGAGACGGAAATCGGAAGGGAAAGGGAGTAGAGAGAAAGACAGGAGGAGAGGGAGCACTGCGAGAAGAAGGGAGAGAAGTGGTGGGGGGCGTGAGAAAATTAAGAGAAAAGAAAGCGAGAATAGAGGAAAAGTAAGGGAACAGGAGAGAAATAAAAGGGGAAGATAGAAGAAAATAATTTTCTTGCCTCAGGTGAAACAAGTGGTGGCCTTTTGATCTAACTAGTTACAGCTAAAAGCTTTATTTTCATAACAAAAGAAAAAAGATAGATGACCAGTTCTTCGACGCTAGTCTACCCTCTCGCCCTCCCCGCTCTCACTCCCCTTGCCAGGCTTTCACTCACTGTTCTACTCTCTTTATCTATATCTCCCGCCCTCTCTCTCTGACAATCTATCTATCTCTTCCTTCCTCTCTTTCTCTCTCTCCTTCTCCCCACCCTCTTTCTTTCTCTCACTCACTCAAATTTTGTGTGGGCTCTATTGTATGCTGATCTCACCAAGCAAAATCAACATGTGACAAGCAAAGTGTATAATTAAATCTTCCTTTAAAGAGGAATTGACTGAGTTGTCAAATTCTCAACGGCCTGAGAGCTGTTTCATAAAGCACTTTAATGTATTCATCTATGGTTTTTATAAAACAAGAACAAGACAGTGTGATATTGTGACCCCAAGAATCAGGCTTGGATATAGACAGTTTGTATATCTAAGTGTAACTCTTGTATATCTCAGTGTCATGTTACAGCCTCTCAGACGACCAATGAACTATTTCATAATATCTGATGTCTTAAAACATATACTTACGTTGCATCCTAAATTTGGAATATAGTATCACATGGCCCTATATCAAATGTAATAATGCTGTTCCACGCCCAGGTGTATACCGGCATGCTAGACGGGTAGATAGACTATGAAATTATTCTTTCCTTGGGACCGTCCCTCGGGGAGGGGGAGGTGGAAATAAGGGTTTATAAGTATACAAGAATGTGGAAACTACCATACGACTATTAGAGCCCGGCTCGAGTTATTTCTTGGCCGGCGCACGCCAACACGTAGAGGAGGTATGCAGCTAATATACTCTTGGTACACCTCTGTACCAACTTGTTGCAATCTTGCATACGGCATTTGATAGTGACATTGCGCATAGATATGAGTTCGTACATGTACAAAGACCACACTTATATACTAATATCAGAAAAAATATTTATGCATGATTTATGACGAAATATTTTGACATCCTATTAAAAAAGAATGCAAGTTTCCTGTAATTTTGCACATGAAATATGCCTTCCATCGAGACTACCTGGTATTATGTTGCAACTTACGAAGGGATCTGTATGTGTACCGAGTACGAAGAACTAATGTTTGAAAATAGCCGTATAAATAATGATTAAAATATTTTGGTTTGACTTTCCTTCCAACGACGGCAAATTTGATCTGATTTGAAATTGGTCGTTTCTGCTGTAAAGAGCACTTCAATACAAAGGGCACCTGAGAGTCGGATCTTTGGACTTCGGAGATATAAACGAGATACCGATTATTTTATGTTGAAAATAGTACACAGTAATACCCGCTCTGAAATAAAAACTATACGGAATTTTGAACTCGTTCTTATGCGCAGTCTCCGTCTAGAGTTGAAACAGCTATGGAATTCTTTCCGTGCGTTTCCGATAAATATATAACGTGTAGATGTTACCGTAGGTCCTCGGTGCCATAAATGCGCAGATATCCAACCACACCCAGACGTCTGGTGATTTTTATGCACTTCTTAGCAAAGATAATGGGGTGCAAATGACTAAACACCAACTCCATTCGTTTCCCGTTGAAAACTGTTACTGTTGAAAATTATTGAAGAAAACGGTTTGATAGGTTTAAGTAATATATATTATTGCTTTAAATAAGTCGATGTAGGCCTGCTAAATGAGGATGATCAAAGTGGTTAACCTTATGTGAGTGTTTACATACAAGTGATCCTCCTCGAAAATTATAATCACCTAGAGACCATCTCCCCCGTGTGAAGCATGAGTAAAAAAAAAAAAAAAAAAAAAAAAAAAAAAAAAAAAAAAAAAAAAAAAAACGGTATTCTTGAATTCCATGTACTTCATACACATGTTTCTATGATTCTCAAAATTGGACCGCCATGTTGTATTCATGCTAGGGCTATTTAACTAGAATGATTTTGTACTGATGCTGCCATCCGCAGTTACCATTTCTTGAAAATCGGATCTTCAAAAGAAAAAAGAAAAAAAGAGGGTATTATCTGGTTTAGATTAGTCGACTTTATGAATCAATGCATTTACAAAAATTTTCAGATAGAAATATCTACTTTTATATCCGAAAAAAGAAAAACAAAAAACGAGAAACATATCTTTAGAGTATCGTCCCCATTAAAAATTATAACTGACTTGTTGATCATCGTATCCCACTATGCCCTATGCTTTTTGATGTATACCATTAGATTTAGCGAAAAATAACAGAAGTAACGAACTTTGGCAAGTGTCCAAATCCCCATGGTTTCTCTCAGAATTTTGTTTACACAAGCTTCGGTACATCCCAGTGGTCATAATTTTCGTGCAATTCAAACATGGGTTGTTGCTTTCGCTAGAGCATCGGAGTGCTAAGGCCATGTAAATAGCCGATTTTTGAATTTTGGAATAAATTTAAAGATTACGTAAACTGAAAATTGACCAAAAAACGGTCACTTTTATCAACCAATACAAAAGGAAATGTTAAAATATTCTAATAACACGGCCTTAACATAGAATAGATCTACCACAAGAATATTTATTTGGTAAATCAGAGAAAAATTACGACCGCTGGGATGTACCGAGGATAGTACAAAAAAAAAAAAAAAATCTTCGACTTTCGACTCCTAATTATATGCAAAAACCCGTGAGTTATCTCCAATATTTTTTATGAAAAAAGGAGTAGAGCAAGCTAGGCATCTCAGGGACGGTATCCTTAACTGATATAGTACAGATCATATGTTATAGCTTATTTTTTCAATGTAACACTATTATATACTATAATCAAGCATCATATGTATCGCCGCTTGCCCACGACAGTGCAGCTAGCAGAGTAGTAAATAAAGAACCAAACTAAATTAAATGTAAAGATTTGTTAAGGTCATCGATGCCAGTGGACATGGGACCATATGCTGCAGCTGTTAATGCATGACATCATAAGGCCAATTCCTGCTGGAATGCCTCACGTCTAGCCTCGACCAATTAAGGATAGTAAGTGCCATCACATCATTATAGTCGATCTTAATTAACACATACTACAAGCCAACTTCGAAGTTGCAGTTTTCGACCTCACTAGCGACGTAAACTTCCCACTCACTGTTCAGGCTGCTCCTTAGATCCAGTGAGTACAGACAAACCTGACAATGCAGTGGCCTGCTCCCCTATGGGATTCGTTGGCACTTCTGATTTGAGGGGAAACTAACTTTACAAGAAAACCGAATGGGAGAACGTACTGCAGGGAAATGAACATCCAGGTGAAAAGCTGCGTGAAATCATAAATGATAGCTACATGTGCAGGACTTCATGGTTTTGACCTCGGTGACGT